CCGTAATAGGAAAACAAGAATTTTGGAAAAGGTTAGAAAGCGTAACAGAGAATTTATATGTCATCTTCCCGTCCATTCCAATTGACAGTTCGGGACTGAGAATTATTGCAACCTAATGCAAATTAGCTGGATGCATAAGTTTGAATTTTTAACTATATGGAGAAATTCAACCCAAAGAAGAACTATTAAGGCATTGGAAACCCTATCAACGTACATCTACGTGGATCAAAAATGTAATCTGGCCAACTTCCAAATTCCTGTCCTTTTTAGTGGGGACTCGGTTTCCTTTTCACAACGTCTCCAGTTCATGTGGATATGAAAGACTTTGCGCTACGATTCTGTTTTTGACACGTGGTTCACATTTGGAAGTATATTATACACTGTTTTCATAGTATTCGAATCGACCCCATAAGAAAACACTTCACCGTTTTGTTTTGTTTTTTTTTTTTTTTAAATTGATTTATTGCTTTTCAAACTACTTCTGCGCTTAATTTTCAACTTATGGAAGTAATTATCAGATATCCATAAAATAGGATATGTGGGCACAAGAGAAAAGATGAAATTAAGAATGAGGACAGAGATGAAGCTAGATATTTGTATAAATGGGATATCCTCAAATAACAAAGTCACAATTAAAAAACTAAAAAATTTATTAAAAATACACTTATATATTATTCCAGAAAGTTTTTCATACAACATATTACAATATTCCTCAATAAGTTTTTCATGTTTTAAAAACGTTGCATACAACATCATTACAAATATCATCAAATATCTCTCTCTTAATAAAAATAACTATGTTATCATTCATCCATTGATCTCTAAATTAAAAAGCTAAATTCTAAATTGTAGTGCCAAAAACGAATTAATGAAGTAAAGTCATATAAAATACCTTGTGGAGTCAAGTTCTTGCGTCGAATTTTGATAATTGATTACTTGAACTCCAACTATGAAACTCCAAATTCAACTGAGTTTTGGTTGAATGAAAGGGGAGGAAAACCCTGAGGGTAATGCTAGAGAGACCAAATTTGTAAACCAAATAATGTGCATATTAATGATTGTATTATTATTTAAGTATTGATTAACGTGCTTATTTCTTATTGATGACACCTCATTTTGTTTGCAAATTTGATCTCTCTAGCATTATCCAAAACTTAGAGAATATGAGGACAAGAATTGCTTTGCCATGGTGGTGGGATGAGTTTTGTAAGGATTAGGGACCTAGGGTTAGGAAAACGGGAGGCACAATTAAATTGTCATCAGGTGGGGCATGGGGGATGCAAAATGGTAAACTTAGTTTAGTTGTCTACCAATTTTTTTTCATTGTAGTTTAATTAGGGCTGTTCACAGGGAATTAAAATGCAAACTATACATTTTTTCTTTTCAAGAAAAAAAAATGAGTGGGGGCATCCGCCCCCTAGGCCTACACTAGCATTGTCCTTGAATGAGAATATCCGAGGTAAGTAGAAGTGGCTGCAATTGAAAATAAGATGAGAGAAAATCACTTAAAGTGGTTTGAACATGTGAACCGAAGACCTACAGATGTTCTAGTTAGAGAATGCGAGTATAAGATAGAAGCTTAAGGAAAAAAAGATAAAGGAAGATCTAGAAAAACTTGAAAAGAGACTTTAAGAATAGACATTGAGTACTTAGACATAACGAAAGACTTAGTGCTAAACTGAGCACGGTAACATTTTAAGATACGAATCCCATTTAATAAGATAAAACTTTGTTATCGTTGAAGTAAATTATCAACATTAAATAAATTTTAGGTATGAAAATTCAAGAGATAATACATGCAGACAATCGATGAGTAGTAAACCGCACGTTATCCTATCGAGAATCCCTAATGAATGGATGCCCTAAATCCACGATGGAGCACTGCCTTCCTCTATCCGGTCTTTATATATACGGGGTATGTACTTTCATTGTTGCATGTGACATTTTAAGGAAGACAGATTCTCTGCCCTCTTATTTTCCGTGCTTTTCTGTTTTGTATGGTCACGATTAAACCATGTTAACATTTTATATATATTTTTTATAGAGATAATAAGATAAAAAAAATAGTAATATAAAATATTGACGTAATTTAACCATGACCACACAAACAGAAAAACACGATAAGGCATGAAAAATGGGAGAGCAAAGAATCTGCCTCCCATTTTAAGAGCAACAAATGGAAAAAGAATTACTGTCGTCATTACTCTGATTGAAACAGATCGATCATTAATCTTGTCGGCATGCACTCATTTAAACTACTCTAACAATAGGTACTGTCGGCATACTCTTGTTGAAAGACTTAACTGACCTTCATATCCAACCATATTATAGCACGTAAAGTCGTACATCACGTTCAATTGTCGTGGGTACATAAAAGGACCTGTGGCTAATAAACCTAATATAGAAATTCATATTCGTTTATCCATCTGATTAGTCACTGATATTTTTCCCACCTTATTTTTCTGGTAGTGCAATTTGTACTATCAACACTGAAGAATCTTTCCAAAGGGATGAAAACAGAAACATATATGGTAACTGAGTGCATGGCTATAGGGTAGTTGATGATAAGTTGATAACATGTTCCAACGGTGGTGAGAGCACACCGTACGTACATGAAGATGAAATTAACTATTACTATTGAGACTAAAATGTAAGGTTGATAGCACTCATAGATACCATCTCTCAAGCAACATGTTAGAGTAAATATATAAATATAGAGAATAATCCGAATGATGACTTTGAGGTACGACTTGAATCGTTTCTTTAAAGTGTTATTTGCCCCTACTCGAATGAGTTTGTTAAAGGGTTCTTGGCAAGTCACTTTCAAGATACAACAAAGTATAGAATATTCGATTAGCAAAACCGAATTGTATTCCCTTAGAAATAACTAGAAAGAAATTGTATGAATGTGATGGACAAAAAATAGAGCAAGGAATGTAGAAACAAATTTCTCAAAATTGTATATAAAACATTATGCCACAATAGGTATTTATAAGCATTAAATCACCTTTTCATCGAGTCCTTTCATTTTAGTTGAAGATATACAACCATTTTTAATAGTGTTGACCCAAAAGACATGTTTTCTATTTAGAATTTTCAGAAAATAAATATTGATTATTTATATCTTTTAATTCTACTCATACAATTTGAGGAAGCATCATGTCTTTTAACCAAAAGTTGTAGTTCAACCAAAAGATACAAGGTTGAATTAAATACAACCTTTTGGTACAATGCAGCACCACTATATATTATATTCATACATACATACATACATATATATATATATATATATATATATATATATTGTAGTATGTCATATGCTGCAATGCTTCACTCGAAGAGAAGCAACGGTTAAGCAAATATGCAACTTTTCAGCCAACAAATATATGAATATATTCTTGAAATATTCAACACAACAACCACTACGATTCCACTTCCCAAATCCCCATCTTACTTTCAGTTTTGCAGGCCAAACCGATACCAAAACCACCGCCAGTTTTCATTTCCTACGTATCTTTGATAAACTCTCTCTTTCTCTCTAAGGGCTCCCTGTATACCAGCCCTAGACTGCAGTGCCCACTAGCAACTATCACTATCAGGCTGGCAGTTATATGAACCTTCTATCCTTTTGTGCTTTTAGCTGCTATACATCATGTTTCTGATGCCCTTGTGGGAAAATTTTGGTTCTGAGTCACAGATATGTTGGTCCCAAAAGCTTAAACGATGTATATAAGATCATACAGAATCCATCCTTATTTTAGAGATAATCCAATGTATGATACATTCTTGCATTGCACTATATATGGTTATTAATTAAGCATGTACGGAAGGGCAATCTTCATACTCATCATATTCCAATTAAATTTCATATTGCTGATGGCATGGCCGAAATGGAACAAGGAAAACATGCATATTCTATATATTCACCATTGAGCTAGCTGTGGCAGCTCGAAAATAACTCTTGGGAAATTGTGCTTACTAGCCTTTTACAAATACAACAACTAAAATTAGCCGCGCTCTCAAATTGCAATCTTTACTAACTTTTTTGATAAAAATATCCTCAATAGTGTGTCAATAATGTATTAATATTGTGTTGATACTTTATTAACTTGAGGGTATTTTCATCCAAAATGACTAAAAGAGATTGCATTTTGTGAGTAGTGCTATTTTTGGTTGGTGAATTTGTGAAAGGGCTACGAAGCCCAATTGCATAACTGTTCTGCCATGAGTTTAATAGCTCACATGATAAGAGATATATAGAGGAATACTGAAACTCATATACTCACTCGTGAGCTAGTTGTGGCATCTCGAAAATAATTCTCTTATCTTGGGTTCAACAAATCATATGACGAGAGAGATAAAGAGAAATATTGAAATTGCTTGTGATATTAACAGAGTTTATCTATCGTGTAATAAGTCTTGTGGGTTGGAGAGTTTGTCTCATAGCTATTAACACCATCAATTACTTATCATATATTGTCATGGATTTGACTATTTTTAAATGTTGAAGTGGCTATATTTTTAGATGATTAGAAAGAGAATAATTCTTTCGATTATAATGTGTGTAAGAAAAGAGGATGACATAACATTACGTGTAATTGTTAAGAAGGAATAACTCCTTACATAACGAAAAATAGTGTAATTTCCATTCCAAAAAGTATAATTTTCCTACATGTGTATGGGGTCCACCCATATCTCACCTGATTATTGCCAAATGCCTTCTGTAGGAGATTTTACAGTGTGCTAGAATTATTTTGCATGCATGTTAATTCTCTTGGTGGAGAGCAACTGCATGAAAATTTGTTTTTTGTTTTAATGAAAAAAAAAGGTTAATTACTGCATTAATAATATAAGAAGCACCTCCCATTGTGAGTGTTTTAGCACTTTATTCAATTCAAAATATTGGTGTCATTGAAATAGATTTATTTGAGGAAAGTCTGATCATTTCTGTTGTCCATGTCTTTCTGTATGTGTGTGTGTGTGTGAGAGAGAGAGAGAGAGAGAGTAACAAGATTAACTAACGGCTATCACAGGGATACATTATGAAGACTAAAAGGGAATTTGTAGAATAGAAAGAGAGAAAGGACAAACAGAAAATTGTGAAATTTTGATCACACAACTGGAGAATACTATACTTAATTAAACCTTTGATTACTAACAAGCCTAATTAAGTAGACACCAAATAGGGCTCCCAATACTTTAACCATCCTTTCTCCTCACACTCACCACCACCCTCTTTGCACCTGCTTGGCCTTTTAAACTTGTCCATTCCCTCATCACCCCCAACATTCAAACTATTCCCATCCACCTCCTCACCTTCCATCAAGCACACAATTGATCTCTTCCCTTCTTCTTCTTCTTCTTCCTCCTCCAGTTCTTCTTCTTTATTTTCTCCGACTTCTTCTTGATCTTGTTCTGCTTCCTCCTCATTGATGTCATTTTCACATGCTTCATTTTCACACCCTTCATTGTATTCATGAGTGGCTGCTGCTTCTTCTGAGTCAAAACTGGGAGAAAAGGTTTTTGAAAAGCACAATCGAAGGTGGCCATTGCTCCTTTCAGCTTGGAAGAATGTATGACTTAAAGGGGCCTTGACAGCCTTCATGATCAGCCTACCATCTTCCCTGTGAGGCCTAACTTGTAGAGAATCCTCACCACTTATTGTTGTCAACGGAGGTGGGAAACCATGAATATTATTCATCTTTTTTCCACCCGAAAATTTAGGTTTATGTTGTCGCTCCCTTGGCACAGCATTCGATTCTGATTCAGGCATTGGTGAGAAAATGCTGAAGCTTTCTGTGATAATGGCGCCGGTCTCGCAGCCTAAGTCTTCGGTGCACATCTCCAAGCTCTTCTCATTTAGCTTGGTAACTGATGAGCTCCTGTAAACCCTAGGAGGGGTGTAATTATTTTCTTCGTCCACCTCAGCAGTAGGGTTTTCTAGTGAGGGTTTGGAGATAGCTTGGAGGAAACTCCAGCCACCCACCAAGTCAGATTTTTCGGAGGTGGCCTTATTGTTGTTGATTTCCTCATAATTATTGCATTTCTCTTCAGAGAAACAACCTTTGATTCCTAATTCTTGGGTGGGAATTGGAGAGATGTGATGAGCTACTGGTGCCGAAAACTTTAGCCTTAGGGTTCTTGGCTCCACAAGATGATGAGACTCCAGGCATGACTGCAGACCTTGGCACACGATTGTCGCCATATACGATGACAATTTTCACCAAAATTTTAAGTGGGAAATGACGTTTTTAGCTGGAAAATGCTATGAAAGAAGAGAGAGAGAGGGGAAATAGAGACTTCAGATGAAAGGTCTTGTTGTTTTGTGGTGTGTGAGAGACAGGGAAAACAGAGGAATCTGTTTCGGGTGTTAGGAAATTAGAAGGAAGAGAGGTTTCTGTGTTGTTTGGAGAGAGAGAGAGAGAGAGAGAGAGAGAGAGAGAGAGAGAGTGGAGAGAAGAGAGGAAGGAGGGGATTGAGCAGAGTGATAAGAGAGGGTGTGGGGTGGGTATTTGTAGTCCGAAGTGGAAGGTATAGAGCTCAGAAGGAGAGGTGACCCAGGTGGGCAGGGGGCCTTTTTTGCACCACTTGAATTATACAAATTTTAATATGGTAACACACCACAACTAGGCAAGAAAAGGAAATTTTAAAATAGTCCTAACCTTTAAGAGAGTAATTCAGGCTCACTATTTTTTATCTTTTGTACATTCCTCTTAATTTCAGTTTTTGTTTTTTTTTTAATTTGTTCAATCTGTCATTGTTTCAGAGGGGAGGGTCTAGTGGTCCAATATTAATGCACCAATGTCGTTCCCAACTTATTCACTAGCTAGCCTAGCATGTGTGAGGTTTTCAGAAAAAGCTCTTGTGCGATTAGAAGTGAAACCGAAGTTACATTCTGTTTTCTAGGGTTTCCAAGATGGGACTTTTCACATTCTTCAACATACCCCCTCACCTGAGATCACTCTTTAGTGAGCCACCTGTGCATCCAATCTTACACTAGTACCTTTATGTTTTTTTTACTTTTGTTTAGGCAGCAGAATATGAAATGCTCACAATTGGAAGGGTCAGGTCAAGGTCGAGGTCATTGTTCAAAATAGTAATCATGCTGATATTATTGGGTTGTGTTTTATCACAAAAGTGTCTCAATGCAATAAAAAATGTGGTTATTCAATATATGTTATTATTTGTCATGGCTAAGTTTTCAATGTAGGATTACATTCTTCAATACTCCTCACGTAGAACTGTGTCTTTACTGGGCCACACAAGCAACTAATTTCACATCAATGACCTCTTCTTTCTTTATTCTCAAGGAGTGGAAAATTTATGGTCAGCTCTTGGTCATTATTGGAATGGTTTGTCAAGTCCAGCTCAGTTATCATGTCATTGTTTCACCGTCGGATCAATGACCCACTACTAATTATATCGATATTGTCTCAACTCAATCATCTATACAAATTGGCAAGTATTGAATTTTATCATAAAAGATTTCAGTGTAATTAGAAGTGGAACCATTCAATATAGTTGTAACTATCATGTTAAGTTTCCAACGTAGGATTACAATCTTCAACCCACTCCAATTGCTAGAAGCAAAAAAAGCGAAATGTGTTAGAGGTGAAAAATAGTGTACATAAATCATTTTCCAACTTTTTTTTAAAACTCCAATTAACTTTTTTGCTTTTAAACTTTGTGTTTTCTCTTTATTAATAATATTAAATTTGAATTAATATGAGGATTTCGAAATTTTCAGCAAAAGATTTTTTTTATTCTTTCTCAAATCTCATGTAGACTAAAATGTCCTTATATGGGCATGCATGAATGAATTTAAAGAGAGAGACAGATGGAATTATCATTTCTTCAAACTTCAACATATTTTCCCATTCATTTCCAAATGAAAGCGAACAAAAGGGCAAGGGAGAAAAGGAATCCTCCAAAAATTTCTTGACAGTGATATTGCTTTTTCTCTTTCTGAAATACAGTACTTACCAATTAAATACCTGAAATCACTATCTGCTGTCTGGTGACCAGTTTTTTATTTATGATCCATATGCCACACGAGTCTGGCATTAATAGTATGTAAATAAAGAGGAAAAAGAAATACATCAGCACACACCCTTCGACATTACTAGATTTGCACATATTTATATATTATGCTGACCGCAGATTGTATACACACAATCAACTTAGGAATATAGGGGGACATATTTTCTTGTACCAGATAACTTGCTATACTATTATCAGGTATCAGCTTATGTTTTATTTGAATGTGTAGTCCGAATCGATAATTTAACGACATAAAATACTAGACTTCTTGTCTCTTAAGATGCTCTTGTTGTAGAGAGGGATCACTTGTGGATACCTTTGGGTGCCAAAGGGATGTCCTAAACTAATAATACAATGTCATAAGAAAGTTAAATCACATGAAACTATAATATTGGCTCAAAATGCCACCGTAACATTTTACAAGGGTGGGTGGGTGTAGGTACGTAAGTTTCCCCGTATTGCGAGATGGTAATATATAATGTACAGTTATTCATAAGGGTTGATTCTTGATAGATGATCTGACCACAGAACATTACTATTATATGCACGTACAAGTAAAGCTCGACTTATAAACAATTAGTCTAACGAGAGAACATTACCCTAGATCGAAATCTACGTGTTATTCTATATACCAGGCCTAGATAGGAAGATTCATACTGCATGCATCAAGAGGGGGGAAGACTGTCAGCGCAGCTGCATACATCAATAATTATGTTTGTAGAAATACAATTTAATTAATGTCAGCAGGGAGACACAATCCCACGGGCATATTTTCCTATGGATCTTTGAAACAAGGAGAGGGTGATGGAGTGAGTCCCACTTCAATATAACCCTGCAAAAACTAGCCTATCTTGTTCAAATAATGTCATAATATTGCCTCATGCCTGCCTGGTCGGAATATTTGTCAACGCAACTACTGAACATCATATTTTCGATTCGAAGTTTGCGACCTACCCACCACACAATTTCATTGAAATCATGTTTGAATTTGATTCAAACCTTGAAACTTGAAGGAATCTCTCAAAGGTAAGGCCTTTAATTATTTTTTTTTATTTTTCAATTTTAGTTTTTGAAAGGCCATGTGGTTCCAGTTTTTTTCTTTTCTAATCACCCAACTTGGTGGATTGTACAAAAAATTTGGTTTGTGTTAACAATTATTATGTTCCTGCCGTCACTTTGCATCAATCCCACAAGGCCATAGAACCTGTACATGAATCTGAACTCCCTGTAGAGCCACTGAACTAACTGTACGGCCATCTTAGGTAGACATGTTAAAAGCTAGCTAAGTCCACTAGGTTACCCTTTTGTTTGTCGGCCGGCGAGGCTATGTTTGAATAAGAAATTTTTAAATTTTAAGGGATTGAGTCTAAATTAGTACGATGGATCAAAATGTAGATAAAGGTAATCAGTTACGCCTTTTATATGAACATCATGTTTATGTACTGTAGATAAAGTCTTCTTTAGGATCGTAGGGGACTTTTTCCGCCAAGGACGGTTGCTCAGAAAGCACCTTGGGATTGCCGACGAAGGAAGAGTTGCTTGACCGCGAGGAAGGCCCTAGACGAGTGATAAAAACGTTGCTAATTCACTCTATCTACATTTTACATTCCATTTGTTACTAATTTGGACTCAATCTCTTGAGACTTGAGAAATTCCTCACTCAAACATAACCTAAATGTATCTCTCTCTCAAAAGAAAAACTCGAGTGGAGACTTTCGTGCCAAGTGGAAAAATGAGGAGAGACAGAGCTATGTACAGGCCATAAACTAGCATCCTCCTAAGCATGAAAGTCTAGCTTTGCCACTAAGAGTGGTTGGTACTACCTAATTAAAACATAATATGCGTTTCAAATTTAATTCTTTATTCAAACTTCTTAACACTTTATGTTTTAACTAAACATTGCATGTATGTCACTCATCTTTCCACGTGACTGGAAAGTCCTCATGCTGAAACACAAGCACAACTGCAAAAGTGATCGATGTTGCCTATAGTTAAAACATAATGTGTTTCAAATTTCTGGCTATAATTCAAATTGCAAAGCACATATTATTCTAACTAAACACTGCATACATTTTGACCTTAAAAACACTGCCTAGTGCATACGTATCACTCATCCTTCCACGTGTCATGATGAACACTCTTTATATCAAAGTCCCCCAAGAAAGGTCTTAGATGGCTATAATTCAAATTGCGTAGCACATATTATTCTAACTAAACACTGCAAACATTTTGACCTAAAAAACACTGCCTAGTGCATACATATCACTCATCCTTCCACGTGTCATGATGAACACTCTTTATATCAAAGTCCCCCCAGAAAGGTCTTAGATCTCTCTTTGTCTAAAAGATCAAAGGCTTGCTTATTGACCAAATGGAAAACCAGCTCAAGCTAAAGAAGCTATAACCACTTGTGCGCGCGCACACAAAAACCCTAAACCATGTGGGAAGACAACAAGTGACCTACCCTAAACGCTAAAGCATACCTAGAAGAGTCTAGGACCATTGCCTAAAAATGTTGCTTTTAGGAGTACTGGTTGCTCCTACTAGAGGGCGTTTTGTGGTGGTGAATGATGTGGGTTTCCCAGTATAGAAATGCTGGACCAGAAAGCTGCGCAATTGGAGGAAAAAGTAAAAAGGAAACCAGCAGGAGCATCGGGCAATCAAAATTTTTTTATGTCTACCTGGTGACATATTATGCCATTTGCATGTTGCCTTGTGTTCTTATAACTTATATGTATAATATTATCAAAATTAGATCATACTGACGTCAAAAGTGTACTGTTTAAAACTATTATTTGTTTCATATTAATATATACCGACCTCTTTTGTTTAAGTACATACTATAAAAACATGCGTTCTCGTAATTTTATTTCACTATTTTTCTTTATTATTTTACATATAAATTGATATGAGAGGTCCAAGAGCCTGAAGAGGCCAAGACTTTGCATGAGAGTGCATGCTGAGGTCGCCGAGCTGACTTTCTTTTACATGATCAGTTGACAGATTAATTAACGAATAAATTCCTCATTTAATTACTAATGGGAGGATTAATTAAGTTAAGGACAGAAAAAGCATAATAATACAAGAAATCACTAGATGCTTTCGGTTTAGCTGTTTAGTGTATTGTTTAATGTTCTATAACGTCATTAGTTTTGTTTTTCTATTTAATTATTTTTAATTCCATATCAAGTTAATTAACTTAATTCGGTGCATGTCTTGTTTCTCTCTTTTCCATGATGTAAAGAAAGCAATATCTTCCCGCAATTTATAAGAAAATGATCAGCATATGAATCTATGATTAAGAATCTAAGATAAAGCTAAAAGTGAATATATATGTATAAAATCAGCATAATATGTGGAGAGCATCATGCATTACTGTTCAAGTAAAGTTAATTTAGAAGGAAAAACCAAACTCATGGATGCTTTCATCACCTTT